TAGAACTAATTGTTATCAAAAACATTCAAAATTCTCAAAATAATAATAGTGAAAGTATTCTAACAATAGTACTGAAACATTTAAAATCGTTGATGCATTTCCCGAATTGTGATTAACGTATAGCATAGCTGTGTGATCCTTGTTTATAACTTTTTATAACAAATAATCAAAACATATAATTTATTTTTATAAATAATGAATTGTGAAATATTGTAAATATCTTAGTAAGTTAATTTACTAATTTTATATAATTAAAACATTTAGATGATTTAATGGGATGAATTAATAAGTACAGCAAATACCAAAATTATGTGGAATTAGACCAAAATTTACTAAGATTATTCATAATAATTATATGAATGTAACATAATTATTATGTTTACAGTTTGACGTATGAGTTATATTATGTATTGTAATGTATTTATATATATAATACCAAAATAGGTTCTTTGGTCGGTTAAAACTTTATTGATTAAATTCCAAATTTATTCATATAAATTTTCAATCATTATATAATTAAACAAAATAATTTATGTTTACAGTTTTAACGCGCAGGTATATTAATTAAGTTTATATAAGTGTATAAGTTTAATTATTTAATCACAATATACTAAATCAGACACAGTGTGTGTGTCTAACGACTAGCTATGGCTAGAGCACCTGTAAAGGATAAATAAGTCACCAGTTTATTAAACTGCGAGCCAAATCAAAACATAATTAAGTTGAATGAATAAATAAATTTTATTTAAAAAATTTGTCTATAAAATACATTTTAAAACATTACGTTTCAATATGCATTAAATATATAAATTATAATTCAATTAAAAACTATCATTTAGCATAAGAATCTATATTTAATATATTAAACATTAATGAAACACTGTATACCTATCTTAGTTATGTAATTTACTTCATGGTAAATATTTTAGCAAAATATATTTTATATAATTAAAACATTTATATTATTTAATTCGACGAAATTATTAATAAAATATATTCTCATATAAACACACCAAAATTAATTAAGATTTTAGATTATAATCATACCATTATAAAAGAATAATTATGTTTACAGTTTGACCAACGAGTCATATGTAAATATGCATTTAAGAAATACTTTATTAGTAGAGTGTAATAGAAACAATATAACTTATTATTACACAACAAACATTGATTATATTACATTAATTACTTAAAATATTTTTATATTTTGTCGTGAATGTGAATCATACACTCCTTGGAATATTCCAGTCATCTATCATGATGACTTCGATGAGCTCATACACCACTCATTACTCCAATACATCACCTTATATGCATACGATATGCACACTTATATACTCATAATGTACTTACCTTTAGGTCATATACAGGGTATATAAGACCCTCATTTCTCATGTATTATTCGCAGTCATTATTAAGTCCTCTTCGAAGGCATAAATCTCTCTAATAAAGATATTGTTTAATGTTAAGCCTGTGTAACGTTATTTAGCCCTTAATTAGGGGTTAATACCGTCGGCGACCACACCTAATAGTTGTAACAGTAGTGGTCATACTTCGCCCGCAAGTCTGCTCATTACCGATCTTGAAAATTTTATTTTGGTTAAGCTAAAATAATTACAATTAGAACAATGTAAAATATTACACTTAAAAACAGAATTTGAATATAAAATAACATAGAATATTGCACATGGTCATAAACCTGTATGACTACAGGTGCGCAGACAGCCGGACTGTCGGTGGGATTAAAGTCAATGTTTAGTAATAAATAATAACGTAATCTAAATTTAATAATAAATAACACGATTCTGTGTGTAATCCAATAAAAACAAACAGATAATAATTATTATATTAACTCTATTATACTGTATTATGTTAAGTCTACAGCAACAGTGTTTTAACAAGTTTGTTCATAATAATTTTAATGATTATATTATTAAATACAATAATTTATATTTACGATTTAAACTTTGTCAACTAAAGCAAGTCTTTGTATTTAATTTAAATTATAATTTCTAAATAATCACATTATTCTTATTGAGTTTTAAATAATTTTATATACAATAGTTGTTGAATTAGTTTGCCAAAATTATTTAATTTGTTTATCAAATCATAAACCTATTATGATAATTTGATTAAAATATATAAAATCAAAAAAGTCTGTTTACGACATACAAACCAATTTTATTTATAATAATTTACAATAATTATATTATTAAATATTAGTATTTGCGTTTACAGTTTGAACAAGAATGTGTATTTACTTTACAATTAAAAATTTGACTAACTAAAATTTACTATAATACAAAGTATACAGTGATGATCAGCTTAATAAAGGACATACTATATATTGACAGCAAAAATAGTATTACAAAACTAACAATTGCTGAAATTAAACTAGGCCAAAGTTTATTCATAATAATTTAAAATTATTATATTATTAAACACAATAATTTATATTTACTGTTTAAACATGTTTATTTATTTACATTATATGTTTACAAATTAATTAAACTTTATTACAAAATTAAAAATCAGATAATGAATGATTTAGAAATTAAAATTTATTTAAAAAAACTTGTCAATGAAAATATAATAAAATATTAATAAATATTTAATTAAAAAGAAACAATTAGTAAATAAATTACATTATTTCAAATATTTTGTACAGTAAATGGTATATTAATAAAAGATTTTACACAAAAGTCAAACAAATGTTTATCAGATTTTATTTATCTTATTATATGCTTATATTTTATGCCATGTCTTGATGTATAGTAGAAATCAATACAATCAATTTATTCATTGCTTAATTTTGGAAAATGTTTTAATAATTTAAAAAACTTTACGTTTGAATAATCTATTAATACCTATGAAATTAAGTCATTGTATATAATTTAAATTATAATTTCTAAATATTCACACTATTCTTCATTTAGTTTAAGACAATTTTATGTACAATTATTTAATTTGTTTATTGATCCCTACCAGCGACCATCATTGTTATACCTTATAATTTAATTAAAATATGTAAAACCAAAAAATATCACTGCGCATCTTTTTGTTCCAAGTTTATTTATATTAATTTATAATAAATATACTTTTAAATATTCTTATTTATGTTTACGGTTTGCATTTGCATATGTATTTAATGTGTATCTCATCTATATTTTCAACATTCATTAATTGTGTGTTAAAAATTTGAATTAAATCTATATCTAGAACATATTTTTGAAATGTTTATTTAAATTTTAGTTTTAAATGTAAATTATATATTAATTTATGTATTTATGAGTTCTAGCCAATATTTCCCAGTATTTTACAGAATATTACATGTTTATTTTTAAGCTGTTATTAAATTTCATAATTTATTTTAAAACTTTTCAATATCCATAATATAACAATAAATGGGGATCAAAAAGCAATTAACATACATTTTTGCCACACTATTGATTATATTAATTCAATATACATTGAAATATTAATCTACTGTTAAATAGCGTTGCCAAACGTACAGGAACTTCCTGTATTATACAGGAATATTCACTCAATACAGGAAGAAATTTTCATGTTTATTGAAGAATACAGGAATTAATATTTCAAAAATAAGCTGTAATACAGGAAAATACAGGAATTTTTGGCAATTTTCTTAGATTTATACAGGATTTTCAAAATATGATTTGGCAACGTTACTGTTAAAGCGAGATTATTTTAGCACATTTATTATATAATTTTTAGTAAACATAAATTATGTAACAGAGATTATTTATTAATAATTTTCAAATATATTGTGTACATTAACTCGAAAACTCAAAATCTCGAAAGATCTTATGATTATCTCATATTATTGTTACATGAATAAATTTTAATACAGATTTTATTAATTAAATTTTAATTAAATAAATAATTTACTATTAAGACGAGATTTTTTAAATCAAATTTATCATTTAAATTTAAATAAACATAAATTATGTAAAATACTAACAAATTGGTCCACCAAAATAATTAAAATTTAAAGAATACAATTATATTTTTTTGTTAAGTCTTTTGATTTGGCAAATATGGCTGATGTTGTGTGTATTGACCAAAAATGTATTAAAACATTATTGTCTAAACAAAAATCATATTTAAATAAATTAAATGTTTCAAAGACAGTGATTGGCAAAAATGCTGTCCAGAACTGGATTAATGATTTAGTTAACTGTGTTTTACATGGAATTAATGACAATCAAAATGTGTTAAACACAGCAACGCCCACATCAAGTGCCACCCATAACAGCAGTGATAGTGTACTTAACGCAAGTCATTCGCAACACTCAACTCATTCGCAGAATATTCTTGATTCTCAAGAATCGGATGACGCGGAAGAGATCGGAGAGAAGACAATTGAAAAACGGGTCGAAAATATTGAACAATTACTACAAACCCTTATCAGTGAAAAGCAATCAGTAAACAAACAACATGTGAAACGGAGGGCCAATCACCAGAACAGACCCAACACCTCATATGTTGACAAAAAGTGTTGGACTTGTGGTAAAACAGGACACCTCTCATACAAATGTTACCACAATATAAGGCATGAGAATCGGAGACCAAATCACAGGCAACACAATCATCACTTCAGGAAAAAAAGTGGTTTTTCTCCAGATAATGGCCGAAGATATGGCAGAAATCACCAAAATATTGTAAGCCGTGTTTTTGCCTGTCATTGTACTTCATCGCCAATTCTGGCACTAAAATACAATGACTGTGCGTTTGTAATGATAGATGAGAGATATGTTCACATATCTCTCATCAGAATACCAGTAGCGCTCGAAAGGCACTGTTTGTTGTATTGTTTTTTCTCTTCATTCAATAAATGTTTTAGCATTAAATATGTGTTTTATTAATTGTGAAAATGTATGTATGTCTGTCCAGTGCGAGTGTATGGTTTTAAGGGTATTCTCCAGAATGACCCCTCCGGGGGTGTATAAACCCAATTTTGGCGGGCTTACATTTTTTTGCCAAAAATATCGTAGTGTATGTTATGTCTTATAACATGGCTTTATTACATCCCTTTTGTTTAACACTAATCCCGTGTTTAATAGTGTGTTGTGTTTGCGATGGGAATAGTATTGATGTGAACACGAGTTCGGGTTCAGTGAGGGGTCAGACACTCCATGTCTTGAATCGCAAAATACACCAATTCTTGAATATACCCTACGCTGAGCCCCCTTTGGGCCCACTCAGGTTCGCACCCCCGGAGCCTCTAAGAGCACCTAAAAAGGATGTGATAGACGGGACAGTTCAGGGAAACTCATGCATTCAGGTGCCAATGAAAGACCCGGAGCTCAAACACTTGGCGGGTCAACTGGTCACCAGTGAAGACTGTTTAACATTAAACGTATGGACACCGATGAATAAGGCGGACAAAGAGTCACCAGTGGATCAGTTAAAGCCAGTGATGTTTTGGATATATGGCGGGGCATTCAGTGTGGGCTCAATATATCAGCCCATATACAACGGCAGTGTTTTGGCCACACATGATGTGGTGATTATCACTGCGAACTACCGGTTGGGACAGTTGGGCTTTCTATACGGGGATCGGGAGGACGCGCCCGGAAATGCAGGCTTTTATGACCAGTTATTGGCTCTCAAATGGGTTAGAGAAAATGCTGAACAGTTTGGCGGAGATAGGGATCGGATCACCATTTTTGGTGAGAGCGCCGGAAGTTGGTCGGTGTCCGCACACATACTCTCCCCGCTATCTAAAGGCCTATTCAAGAGGGCTATTATGCAAAGCGGAGCGGCTTTGATGCGAAATGAGCGGCCGTTTATGGGCACAGTTGACGCTCTGGCAAAAGCCAAACAAACCGCACGTAATTTACAGTGCAATCCATACGACTATAAATGGTTGGACTGTTTGCGCGCCGTTGAAGACCCGGAGCTATTCCTGGACCCGGTGCCAGAGGGGGCAGCCTTTACGGTCACTTTTCCTATTATGGGCACACAATTCCTGCCAATCACAGCGCAGAAAGCATTTAAACGTCAAGAGTTTGCGCAAGATATTGAACTGTTGGCTGGCGTTACCACCGACGAGGGTCTGCCACTAGCGGCGGGACATTTCCCGGAAATGTGGGATAACTTTGGAGAACAGGAGTTTGGGAAAGCGTTGGCCGCACTGAACGCCAGGGCCGGCCATAGCCTGGATGTAACACAATTGGCCGCACATTACCTGAACGGTACCGAAACGCACGGCAATTATGTGCGCGCTTTCGGCCAACTCTATGGCGATTGGATGATGACGTGTCCCACCTATACGTTTGCCAAAGGATTGGCCACCAGTAGTGGTGCCCACAATAGTGTCCACTTTTATCGGTTTAACTACGAATCTGGTTATACGAGCGGTAAGTTTTGCGGGTCAACGGCGGGAACGGTATGTCACGGGGCGGACGTACCGCTCGTTTTTGGCGCCCCTTTATTAATGCAGCGATTGTTTACTGAAACTGAATATGACTTCAGTATAGATGTGATGAAAATGTGGACCGATTTTGCAAAAACACGGCTTACAATATGAATCATTTTTTAGGACAAAACCCTCAACAGTATATAGTGATGCCAAACACAGGTCAGAGCTATATGCAGACAATTCCGGTACAACTGTCACAACCCAACCAACAATTTCAGCCAATATAGCAAATCGTTTAATACACAGCCATTTGACTATATTTTTTGCAAATGTGAGGTCTCTTAACAACAAATTAAATGAATTTAAATCAATGGTAATTCAATACAATTATGATATCATTATAATCAATGAATCGTGGTTAACTAGTAATACACCTGATAAAATAATTTTAGATAATTATAACTTATATCGTAGAGATAGGGAAGGAAGATCTGGTGGTGTTTTCATTGCAATTAAAAACAACTATAAATCTTCTCAAAAATTTATTGAATCAAAATTTGAAGATATTTTTGTTGAGATTTATGTGAAAAACCAAAAACTATTGATTAGCACTCTTTACAGACCTCCAAATTTTGACATTAATTTTTATGATTATCTGTTCTCTCGTTTTAATTATATAGATGTAAGCTTTTATGATTTAATTTGTATTTTCGGTGATTTTAATGTAAATTTTATGAAACAAAACAATGTTTTGACAAATTTTGCCAATGATTTAAGTAATAATTGTTTATATTATGGTTTACAACAGATAGTCAGTGAACCCACATATCCCGCAAATAATCCCAAATCAATTCTAGACTTATGTTTTACAAACAATTTAGATTTAATCAGCGATATAAAAATTTGTCAAAATATTTCACATAATTGTGATCATAAGGCTTTGGTTTGTAAATTGAAATTGAATGCAACCAAACAAAAGTCAAAATTTATAACAAAATTAGATTTTAATACTAATAATTTGAAAATATTGAATGACAAACTTTTTGAGACAAATTGGTTTGATTTGACCTTAAATGCCAATAATATTGATTCAGTTTATGAAATAATATGCGATAAATATGATGAGATTTTTAAGTGTATAATTCCTAACAAAACTATTGAGATTAAACCTAAACAACAATATAATAAACAAATCAATGATTTAATAAAGTGTAGGAGAAATCTAACTAAATATGAGTCGAAAAGTAATAGTTTTATAGAAAAGCATAAGTTTTTGACACAACGAATAGGAATATTGATAGACGAATACGAAAGAAATAAAATCAATCAATTAATTGAAAAATCCCGAAACTTTGCCGCTCTGTATAAGAATATCAAACAAATTAATAAATCAACAGATATTCAGTGTTTCACTGATAGCGACGGCAATACAATTAGTGACAGTTATTTGATTGCAAACAAGTTTAAGGATATATTTCAGACAACATATTGTGATAATCAGAACACCATTGATATCAATATTAATTTCCATAATAATGATAGTTTAAATTCAATTGAAATTACAATGAATAACATTTTAGAGGCCCTTAAAAAGTTTAATTACAATAAGTCAGAGGGACTTACATTTATTAAAAATAAAGTAATAAACTGCTGTCTGAATGGGTGTTCAAAACTATTGTACTGTTTATATAATAAAATAATTGAATTTAAAGAAATCCCGATAGAAATGAAAAAATCAATCGCAACCCCAATACTAAAACACAATAAAAATAAGCACTCATTAAACTCGTATCGTTGTATATCTGTACAGACAAACATTTATCGTATTTTTGAATCAATAATATTAAGTAAATTGTTACCATATTTAGAGTCAAATCAAATCATCCCTTATTGTCAATACGGCTATAGAGTAGGGAGAAGTATATGTAATCTTCACATTGATTTACAAAAAGTTATTTATAATGCTTTTAATGAGAATATTATTGGAATTGATGTTATATTTCTAGACTTAAGCGATGCATTCAATACAGTATCACAACAAATACTTTTGAAAAAATTAAGCATGTATAATATTTCGGGTGATTTTTTAAACATACTCTCAGATAGTTTTAGAAATAAGAAACAAATTATTAAATTTAATGACTGTTTTTCAGAGGAAACTATTATTAACACTGCTTGTAGTCAGGGAGGAGTGGCAGCTCCAACCATGTTCAGTTTATACATTGCAGACATTGTTAATAATATTGAGTCTCATATAATGAAATTTGCTGACGATCTAGTTTTACTCAGGGTAATAACAGATAATAGTGATTGTTATATACTTCAAAATGATTTAAATAATGTGTCAAAATTTTGTACAAATAATTCACTCAAACTGAATGCAGAGAAATGTGTATTCATGAGAATTAGCCTAAAAACTAATGATTTATTTCAGTATAAAATCAATGACATAAATATTAATAATGTAACTTCACATAAACATGTAGGTGTCTATTACGACTCTAAATTATTATTTAACAACCATACAAATATGATATGTGAGAAAGCAATTAAAAAGTACTATACTTTGAAAAATATATGCAAACAAATAGACGGCAAGTCATTATTACGTTTGTATCAAACATATGTACTGCCGATACTAGAATACAGTAATCTTTGCTTAATATACAGTTCAACACAAACACAACAATTAGAGAAAGTACAACGAAAAGTGACAAAATTTGTTTGTTTCAAAATGAATAAATGTAATTTAAATTATAAAAATAGGTTAGAATTTTTAGGCATAAACTCTCTTGAAAA